TACTGAATGTTTTTTATTCTTTTCAAATTAATTGAAACAATTAAATAAAACGTAAATAGCATTTTTAAAACACATTACTAGAAGATTTTTTGTATCCTTTGAAATCATTACCTACGCATTCATTCACTAGTTATTTTTCGAAAACTAGATTATAGATTTTTATTGCATACTTAAACAGAAACATGAAAAAATAATTTACCTTATTCAAAGTTAATAGTTTAGTAACTAGGGTCCTAGCTGACAGGAACTAAACACCTGCTTTCACCGGAATTTTTCCCTATCCCTGTGACCGAAAGACTAAGTAATCAAAGTGGTAATAAAGTAATTAAGGAATTTACATTTTCTTCGTTCTTATTCCTCCAAAGCTTTAATTAATTTTAGTGAAAGAATGTTATTTAGAATAAACAAAAAAAACTCATTTTAAGTTTGTTTCAAATTATTCGAACGAACTTGAACTGAATGTTGCGGAACATCATTATATCTTTATATTGAGATGTTAATTATATGAAGTGTCTCAAATAATAATGCAGCTGTTTTTAATTTATAAGTAAGTTTTAGAAAAGTTTACTTGTTTTGCAATTTTTTCTTCAAAAAAAAAACTAGCATTTTTTCATTGATTTATTTTTTTTTATATAAAGTGACGTTCTTTATGGCAGTTATAACAATACATAAACTTAGAGGTCTCGAAAAGTAATTAATACTGAGTGATTAACTCTGCAACATGCTCTTTGCTTTAAAAAAAAACTTCGTTAAATTAGTCTATAAGTATATAAGTTTTACAAGTATTAGTGCAGCATGGTTCAAGAACTTGAGGAGACAATGAAAAATTCTCATTCCCTCATATCATCAACGTTGTTAGTGTATTAATCTTCTTTTTTTTTGTTAGTGCAACAGCCCCTTGCAGGCTTTGGCTCCCTCAACAGCTGACAAATGCCAGCGCCTCTTAGCCATGGCAACTCCCTTCCAACTTCTAAACTTTAGGGTTTTCAGGTCATTTTCGATATCGTTGAGACATCTAGTGTTCCAAATCTCAAGTCTCTTTCCATGCCGAGTCATCTGGGTAAAACGGAGCCGGTATATGCACATTGTTGAGGTTTCTGAACTGGAGGCCTTTCACTGGGTGGGGTAGTTGGCCCCACGGCCAAACCCCAGCCTGGAGGACCAATCCCCTGATATAATTCCCAGGGTCAGGGTGCCCAGCTGTACCCCCAGACGCTGGGTACCCATTTTAGTCACCTTTTGAGACATGCATGAGCTACATTGAGACTATTTTTTTAGTGCATTAATATGCGGTAAAAATTTTATTGTCTTCTATTCCAACTTTCTTGCAGTAATTGGTTGTAACAGTGTATTTTATTTTAAAAATTCAATTATTGGTACCCAAAATTTCCTGATGGGATTTACCTGTGCAAGGGTGGTTAACCTGTGTTAGGGAGGAATAGGTAAAGACAGAGATTGCCGTAACGTGTTCATGATTTCAAACAAAATATAAATATTTCATTAGTAATCTGTTGTAATTTAAAAAGCTGAATTTTGAAGAGTTGATGTAGTTTTGGAGAAAAAAAAATTAAGTTTTGAACACTCTGTTCAGTGTGGAAAGCTATGAGGCTTCTATTCACTTTTGCTGCTTCATACTTAAACAAAGTAGGGTTTTCAGCAGTTGCTTTTCTAAAAAAAGGAAACTTCAGGAAATAAGGTAATTTTGAATTTCCTGGGCACTCAAAAAAGAAAGTATAATCAAAACTACCAGATCATGTTACAATTTACAGCGTTTCTGTCTTTATGGGAACACAAAAAACTTTAATTTTTAAAGAAGTGATTTAGTCATCATTTTAGTAAAATTAACAAAATAATATTTTATAATATGTAATTAAATTTGTTGAATGTGGTAGAATTTGGTAATTAAATTATCATACCTTAGAAAATAGCATAAAAACCATTTATTCAGTTATAATTATATTTCATATATTTATATTTTAGTTCCATATTCAGTTTCATATTTTTTTTTCAAAACGTATACAGTAATAAGTATTATAATTTTGAAAACCAGATTTTCTGATAAACTATTGCCATATTAATAAAAACAATGGGGAAATGATGGTTTAAAAACCGTAATGCAACAATATATTTTGGTTTTATCGATTAGAATTTAATAAACCAGAATTGCGTTTATTTTCTTTCCACTTACTGTTACTTTCATGGTTTTCTGTTTCTGGTGTAAAACATGTGAAGCAAGGATTGTTTACGCGCAATAATTATTACATCGTAGACAATAATTACATTACTGTGCTGTCGTAATACAATTTAAAACCTCGTATGGAAGCGCAAGATGAAAAAGTTCAGAAACTACTGAAAGATCATATCTTTAGAAAAAAGAACAATGCACAAGCAACAGTACAATGCGAAACCACAAACATAAAGCTAATTATAAGTAATTGCTTCCTCTTGTTTTAAAATAAAAATAAAGAAATTGAAAAAATAATTTTCAGAAGGAATGTAGTAGGAAAAAAACATAAACACTTGGAATTAAACTGCAAACCTATTGACTATTTTTGCTATCGTTTGTTGTAAATTCAAAAAAGAAAAAGCTTTTTTTTAAAGAAAAGATGTTAATTGTATGTTTTTAATGCCCTAAATAGCATAAATTATACAAAAATGAAAATACTTTTACTATCTTTAATTGTCCAGTGATACAAAAATAATCATTTTTTTAAACAAAATATCGCGATGTTACGAATTCCTTCTATTTATTAAAAAAGCTCCCAACAAGCAAGAAGTTTCAGAAATGTCATCGACGTTATGAAATCATGTTTTTATCAACCATTCAGTTTTCATAGGAAAGAAAAATAATCATGAAGATGACATCCTAAGACTTAAAAGTCTTTTCAGCGACGATGCCACAGAGCACAAAAGAATTTTTCAGCAGGGGTATTGAAAAAAAAATTAGAAGTCAAAATATTTTGTGTCACATATTTGTACTCGTTTTTACTTTAACGATAAATGCGGGAACAAAAACAAATACTCAGAAGAAAATAAACTTTCTCGCATTTATTTGCATTCGAATCTTCCAAAATCTCCGAAATAATGAGAAAAAGTGCTTTGGAGCTGAACTAGAGAATCATCAGCTTTATACGGGGCTGTCATAAAATTTGCATCAATTTTACTTTTCTTTGATGGATGAAGAAAACCATTTTGGGTTCCTGGTCTGGAAAGAACTTGACACTTACTAATTTTCTTGTTTCTTCTTTCGTTTTATTTAAATCTCTGTTAGAATAAAACCTATTTTTTATTCAAACATAAATAAATTTTACATCTTTGAATTTTTTCCCCACTTAAAATAAACACTTTTTTTGATTGTAGTTTTAAATAAGTACTCAAAAAAATAAAAATTAATAACTATAATTCGAAAAAAAAAATTGCACCAGATATTTTGCAACCTCCTGCTCAAGGTGCAACCAGGAATCTTCTACTAAAAGTATAACGAAACATCCAAACTAAAGTAAACCATCCGATCAGTACTAAAAGTTTTAGTTTCATCCTTCATTTACCAAATTATTAATAAATTATCAAAATATGCGAATCTTTTTTGCCCCATTAATTAATGTTTATTTTACGCTTTGATTTTTTTAAATATTTAACATTATTTTTGTGCATTTTTAATTTGGGAATTGCACCACATTATAAAATTTAATTAAAGTTAAATAATTATTACCTTGTTTTATAACGAGGTGCATAAATCAATAAAGAAATATAAAGAACTTGCTAGCAAGTTTATTAAGATAGAAAGCTGAGAATTTAGAAATGAATAAGAGGAATCACAAAATAGCGTCTTTGAATGAAATATCAGCAACTAAATAAATAATTCCACATGTGATATTCAAGTTCAAATAACCATATGTTGTAATGATAAAAGGAATGTATATATTATTTATTTATATATATTATTTATTTATATATATTATTTATTTATATATATTATTTATTTATATATATATATGTATATATAATTTATATATCATTTTTCAAGATTGGCATAGCTTCAAATCGCACTCTGAAATCAGTGTGTTCGAGTTTCTTCTTCGAGAAAGTAACACAAGTTTTTCCCCTTGATAATTTGTGTCTCATGGAAAAAGATAAACATTAGTAATTACAATTGGTCCATTAAGAGCAGCGATGGCCCAGGGGATAGAGCGTTCACCTTCCAATGAGGTGAACCGGGGTTCGATCCCGGTGATGGCTGGTCGACACGAATTCCGCATCCGGCTTGCACCGATCCCAGTGCTGACGTGAAATATCCTCAGTGGTAGACAGATCATGGGTTAAAGTCCTCTTGCCGTCAGGCTAACCGTGTGAGGTTTTCGTGGTCTTCCTCTCCAGGTAACGTAAATGCGGGTAGTTCCAACAGAAAGTCCTCCACGAAGGCAAATTTCTCCCAATACTTGATCCAGGAGTTTCCTTGCCTTCTGGATTGGGTTCAAAATAATAAGGCTACGGAGTTCAGCATGAGTAGTCATAAACCCGAAAATTGAGTCGGCTGTTCAACGACGGTTACAAAATAAAATAAAATTGGTCCGTTAAAGAGGTCGAGAGAATAATATGGTTCTCACACTTAGTAGAGAGGGAAACTTAAAATGTTAATTCTTGCATGCTTGAATTCAAAAACCAAATGCCGGATGCGAATACTAAAATGTGAGAAGGAGATGAATTTTGAATAATAAATTAAGAAGAAGAATTTAAATGAAGAAGAAAAATGTTAGAAAATTAGAAATTGTAAAAAAATTGTAAATTAGAAATTGTCAAAAAAAAAAAAGACTTTTCTCCAAAAATTTGGTCTTTTCTTACTTTAGCAAAAGTTTTTACGACCATACCAATGAAAATCAAATGAAGTTTTTACCTTTTTTAGATTTCTTTAAACAATTGAGGCATGTTTTGAACTCAAAAAGCCGCTTTTTTTATATATTTTTTTGTTATCGTGAGGTACGTTTTAAATCAATACTTACTGTCCAAAATTGATCATTTTGAGGATTATTGGTCTGTTTCAGTATAAACAATTTCTCATGTCATCACAGAAGAAAAATTTGTCTCTTGCGTACCATAATTGATTCCTATCGCTTTTTTCCGTTTTTCTTCATGTTGAACGATATTTTGTGCATTTCTATTATTTCAAAAGCTTTGTATCTGCAAAAATTTATAAAACTTCATAAAATTCTACGCAATGAATTAATGAAGACTAGAATAAATATTATGATTGAATTACTATATTTATCATGCTTGAGAACTTTTAGGACATCATATATACATCAAAAATTCAAAATAATTGAACATTTCTTCTTTTAGTAAATTGTATCAAATTTAAAAAGTAAATTTGATTTAGCAGAATTTTGATATCATTAAAAAGGTAAAATAGTTTTGTTTTCCCTAAATTTTTAAACTGTAACATTGTCTCAGTGCAAAAGTTTATCAAACACATTGGTTCTTACAGATATTGAACAAAAAATGACAATAATTGAATAAAAATTTGTATCCCGAAATCCAAATTCATCTGTAAATAAATTTTTTGTAATCAAAAGAAAAATCCCAGAATTCTTGTTTAAATTATTTTACTACTCGATTCTCGAAAAATTAAAATATGCCTTCGTTAAAAAGGAATTTTAAAATTTAAATAAATATTTTGTTTGATTATTCTCAATGTAGGCAAACTTAATAGAAGACACGAAAAATAAAATATTATTCTATTAATATGCATGCGTAATATAAAAAAGTGTTTTGTTTGTAGTCCTGCCTTAATGCATAGATTTTTTAAAATTATTTAAGTAATTATTATTAATAGTTATTATTTATTAACAATAATTAATCGAATCCCTTTTAGCAACATTTTCTGAATTAATTTTATTTTAATGTTATTTGCAAGTATAAAAAATATATATGAAATAAACGTAGGAATTAGTTTCAATATAATTATATTAATTCGAAACTCTAGCTGTAATAAATACGTTACGGTTTGAGGTTAAAACAGAATTTGAACATGTTTACTAACAGAAGCGATTATACAAATATCTGGAGAATTACACTTGCCATCTACAAAAGATAATTCTTATGACCTAGATACATTTTCAAATCTACATGAAAGTATAAGTACCAAATAATTTAGCGCAAATTAGGAAATGGAAGTAACGCATTTTAAACTGATTTTCAGTTGAAGCATATTTAACTTTAGCGCTAAATAACTAACATTGAATATTTTAATACATAGGAGCAGAACGCAGACATAAATTCACTGGACTAAGGCAATTAAGCTTTGCATGCGTGTTAAACATCTCTAATCTTTAAACTAATCTTGCAATTTTGCTTGAGTAAACACAATTTAGATAAAATTTTGCTGAGATAATTACTTGTACCAATTTAATGGTTAAAGATTTCTAAAGAAATAATTTTCTAAATTGTGTTGTGGTACTATAAAATTGACTATAAAATTGACATTGTTTGCTGATATATATATATATATAATACCGTAATTCTCGTTAATATAGCAAAATATATGGTATTTAAACCATTCATTTGGTAATTTTTCTGTTCATATCGCAACGGCTAACCGGAAATTCTGATTTTCAAATAATAGATCTTATTGCCACTCATTTAATAAAAAATACAAAACCAAACATTAAATTTAACCGAGTAAAGTGTTTTTACGATAAGGTAACATAATGAAATTACTAAATTTCACTAAATTTTTTAAATCACTAATTATCACTTATTACGAAACCATGTTTTATTGTTAAATTTACCAAATAATTAACAAAGAGCTTCTGTAAAGATTACCAAGCTTTTTGGTAACTTGTGAACATAAAATAATGTTAAGATATATATATATA